CCGTTCTGACTCGTAGCGGTCCTACGGGACAGGGTAGAACCGCCCCTGTGGGTTTCCGAGACTGTAACTGTTTATGGGAATAGAAAGTCTCGTCTCTCTCCTGCCCAGCCCCACATACATCCCCTAAAATTAGCCAGCCCCCAAGGTCGGCTGCCCAGGCTGAGAAAGCCCGACCGAGAGAACAAGGCAGTGTTTGTTTCAAGGAAGAAATCAGGAGCAGTAGTGCCTGGGGACGTGCTCCTGGAAGGGTGGTGGCTCTTAGAGCAGCGAGATGGAGGCAGACAGCCACTAGGCTGTGCTCTGAACGCTCGTGAGTTAGAATGGGGCTCCGTGTCCTGAGTCAGAGGAACAACACCCGAGTCAGCAAAAGTAACCTGGACCTAAAACCTGGTGCCCCTCTGCCATCAAGTCCCAGTTGCTGAAGCCAGTTGGACGCATCTGACAGCCAACACTCCCCTTTCTGGAAGCAAATGAATGGTTTTTGTGGCCTCTCATCACCCCGAGGACCTCACTTTTACTCAGGTAGTCGGCAGCTCTTTTCCAGTGTTCTTGCTGCTTGTAATTCCGTGTGATGTGTTACCCCCTACAAACTGCAGTGAGTGGGAGGCACCTCTTTGCCCAGCACCTGACAGGCACAGTGCTCTCAAAAAACTCACTGCCATGGAGTGAATTCCAACTCATAGCGGACCTTACAGGACAGGGTATAAATGCCCTGGGAGTTTCCGAGAGTATAAATCCTTACAGAGGTAGAAAGCCTCATTTTTCCCCTGAGCAGTGACTGGAGGTTTTGAGTTGCTCACCTTGGGGTTAGCAGCCCTGGTACTTACTAACATTGTAGAGATTTAAAAGAAGGTGTCAGGGAGGGTCAGGTGGAGGGCAAAGCTTGTGCAAGGTTGATAGATACCTTGCACTCACCTTTGGCTTGTTCTTTCAAATAACATACTTGTCCAGCAAAATGGGTCGGCACACTGTTTTCTTATTATGTAGTTAAACACCTCTCAGAGCGTTCCAAAATTGGGCTTTTTCTTTTTTGGCAAGGTAAAGGAGTCTTCCACTCTGGTTGTTTCATAGGAGGGAATTGACGTCGGGACTCTGCTGAAGTCAACTTGCAACACCTTCCTGAAGACCCTGGAGGAGTGTATGCAGATCGCCAACGCGGCCTTCACCTCCGAGCTGCTCCACCATACTCCCCCGGGCTCCCCGCAGCTGGCCGTGCGCAAGGCCAGCAAGGTAGAGAAAAGCCAGACTGATGACAAGTGGAAGCGTCAGGAGGGCATGCTGCTGAGCCCATGTGGTGGTTTAAGAAGCATTTAGAGTGGGCTTTGCTGTGTGGCCACTTTGAGGTCTGCTCTCACTCACTCCAGGCAGAAGCATGAGTTATTCATCCTGCAAGTCCAGTCGGTTACTTTTTGGCAGTTTTATCATTTGACCACGTCTCGTCTTTGTAATCCTCTTGTTCCCAATGAGTCTTCCAGCCTGACCCATGCCAGTCGGTGAAGTATTTCTGTGACCACCAGCTGTCCTGGAGACCTGCACAACCTGTCTTTGGCATCCCCACTGCCGACAGGTCACAGTGAAATCCTAGCACCTCCTGCTGTCCATCGACAGCCTCTCTCCCTAGCAGTCCTTAAATGTGACTTGCAGTATATAACTGCTGGTCGTTGCTCCCACATCTTCGTGCATTTCCCAGGGCACCACACACCCTCCTTGCCAGTCCTGACTTCCTCAAGATTCATCTTCTCTCCCTGAAGCTTGGGGTTGGACTAAGAGCTCCTGCTCTTACACTTAGCCCTATTTTAGCCCAACTTTGTATAGTAATTGCCTTCAGGGAAGGAATCCATGGTATTTGTATTTACAGAATTTGATACAATGTGTGTCATAATTTGCTGTTTGTTTACCTTTAATGAGAATAACTGAAATCCCAAAGAAATCCAGTCACCAAGGGGGGATTGGTTGCTTAATGAGATCCCTTGAAAGACCACCTTCCTTAATTCAACCTACAGAATCCATGTTACTGAATGGTACTTGTAAAAACTGGCAATGCTTTATGTATGTTTTGCCCCAATAAAAAGGCCCCATATCCTTTTCCATAGAAGTTTCATAGCCCTTATTTAAGGCAATTAAGAGAGCTGGTTGGGATCAGCGAGTCTCTACTTTTTGGGAGCACCTAAACCTGTCCCTGTTGAGTGAGACAGTATGTTATAATCTTATTTACCATTTGTCATATGTGATAACATTCCAGTTGTGCACTGTTAAGACATTTAACATGTACATTTCTTTTCTTTTAAAGATGAAACATCCTATTATACCAATTCATAATTCACTGGAAAGGTACAGTAACTTTTGTTTATTATTCCTAAAAATAAATAAGGTTATTATTACTCCATGTTTTTTTTTTAAAAAGATAGGGATCTTTTGATCATAGAGTGGGTTGGGGGGTTGAGGTGGGGGAAGCTTTTTCTGGGTGAGCCTGAGCCACAGGATCGCAGTGGTTAAGCACTGGCTCCTAACTGAAGCCCAGCTGTTTGAATTGACCAGCTGCTCTGCAGGAGAAAGGGGCAACAGTCTGTCCCCTAAAGATTTACAGCCTTGGAAACCCTATGGGGGCGGTCTACTCTGTCTTACAGGGTCTCTCTTGAGTTAGGTTCAACTCGGCAGTAATAAGTTTGGTTTTTGGAGTGTACTGAGATTGGACCTTCTCTTCTGAAGCCATTGACTGTTGAGAAAAGCATGCTTTTAACCTGAAAAGACAATGCCGTTTTGTTTAAAAATAAGAATCTTTGGCATTTTTTCTGGGTAAAAGACAATTTAAGAGATAAAAGTATAAACCATTTCTATTCTTCTAGGCGTACCTTTGATCAAAAATCAAGTGTACGGTTGGAATCTATACCCCATTCACGTTATTTTGGGTTCATTATTCAGCTGTTCTGCATGTAACCATCTCCATGTGTTGACATAGTCCATATGTTTGCCATCTTACATATCCTTTGATATTTCATCTTCTTCAACCACTGTTGTTTGCTAGGTTAATTCTTTGTTGTAAGGATTGCTCCCTATGTGGTTATTTATAGTCTTCACCTCCACATTTCTTCTGGAAACATCTTTGTAGATTGTACTTTTTTTTTTTCTTTTGAGGTACTTCCTGGGTAAAGTCCTGCATTTGAGTGCTAGTGTGAACTCGGCACTTTCTTAGCAAATGGCAAGTGCTGTCCTCAGTGTCACCATGTGGGTCGGCCCTTTATTAGAAGAAAAGGTCTTCTTACAAAGGTCTGATGGGCCAGGGTATGATCACCTACACAGGAGGCTATGGTTTCCCCCTTTAGGAAGTAGAGTCAGCCAGTCCTCTTGCGTGATAAATAGCCTTTTCAGTTCCCTGACGAGCAGCCGGTCCTTCCGGATAGGTTTTGTCCTTTTTTCCGTGAGACACTTGGCAGGGACTTCCCTCCCCTGAACACAGCATGTGGCTCCTAGACAGCTAAGTGCTAGGCAAACACATGGAAGTGGCCCGTGTTTTTGAGAATTAAGACAGAAAACCACCTCCCAGGTTGTTGAAGTGTGTGAGAGAAGTTCAGAGGCACCTGGAGAAAGCTGCTTGAAAACCAGGGGAGCTGCCAATGACTACTTCCTGAGACCAGTGGGGAGCAAAAAGACTAGGTCAACTGAGGGCACAGGAAAGCCATTAACGACCCTTTGATTTCTAAATTGGCAGCTTGAGAGACAGACCCACCCCTGGCACAGGCAGGCCCCTATCTGGGGAGGCAGGAGGGTGGGGAGTCTGGTTTTAGCAGCGCAGTTTTTCAATTGATGTAAAAGGAAGTTGACAGTTGTGAGCCCTCCCCACAGGGCTCTGAATAAGATCTACCCGGGCAATCTACTTAGGAGCAAATATTTAGACATGTTGGCTTTTTCTTTTGTAAAAAATTTCAGACAAATGGAGATGAACAATTGTGAAAATGGATCTTTAAATATGGAAATAAATGACGATGAAGAAATCCCAATGAAAAGCAAGAACCCCTTATGTTTGCCATCTGCCGAGAGAGACTGCAGTCTATCAAGTGAAGAAAATAAAGAAGATAACATACCAGGTAAAAGTGTTGGGTGTCAGCAGCAAGCCTTTGAACAGTAGGATCTTCGAGGTTATACGCAGTATCCATGGGGTGACCCAACACTCATGGTGACAGACCTCAAGACAGGACCCTCAGTTGGTGGTGTGGTGACACCTGGTCGCTTGACCAAATGGCATTCTTCTACCCCATCTGACCCCAGTGTGTCGAAGGTGCAGTGAAGGGAAAGCTGTGATTGTTCCCGGGTCTGATGGACTTGTGCTGGCTATGAGCACTTCACTGACCTCCAGCCCTGAGCCTCAGAGTTCTTTCAACAGTGCAACAGCAAAAACTTCACTGTCGTTGAGTCAGTTCGCAATTAGAGCGATCCTGTAGGGTAGAGTAGAATTACGTCTGGGTTTCTGAGATGCTAACTCTTTACATGAATGGAAAGCTGCGCCTTTCTTCCTTGGAGCAGCTTGTGGTTCAGAACTACTAACCTTGCAGTTAGCAGCCCAAAGCATAACCTACTACACCACCATGGCTCCTTTTACCGTATAATAAGAAATCGTTATCATCCTCCTGGTTCCTGTTGGGGCCCCAGGCTGTCATCAATCACCAGCCACCATCAAGTAGTCTTCACTTGCCCTTCCTTGTGGTCATCGAACCAAAGCCCCCATTTCAGGTAACAGCCCTATAGTTGAGAATGCTGCCCTTGTGACTTTGGTCATTCCACTGGCACTGAGGCAATGTTAATCTTTCAAATTCTCATCCATGCCAAGTGCTCTTCACTGTATTAGAACTACTCAACATTTTGAAATTGAACATTATACCCCCTCCTATTTCTCATGAAATCGGAGATCCTGTTTTTATAGGTGAGTTGAAAGAAAAGAAGCTTTATTTTCTTAGCTATTAGTCTGAGGAAATGGGCAATGTACACATCTTTTCCCCTAGTCATTGAGTAATACAGACTGGATAATTTTCATCAGCAGTCCTTTTGTTCACTTAACCCCATAATTTCATTTCTAAGAATTTGTGCTCAGAGAAGAGTCAAGATTTAAGGACAGAGATCTGTGGATAGGACTCTTCTTATGCCATTACTTACAGTAGTAACACTTTGTAAACTAGTAAAATGCCCCTCCACGGACGGGCATGATGCAATATTGCCTGGTCATTAAAGTCATTGTACAAAGAGTATGGAGTGGTTTGAAGGTATTCACGATACACTGTTTAGTGAAGGCAAGCAAGATATAAACCTTGTGCACTTTAAGCGTAGCTTTGTGTACATACATGTATGTGTGTACTTTCCTGTGTTGTAGAGAATTTCAACAGTGACTCTGGATTGATTTTCACAATGATAGGTGATACTTGTCTTCTTCTTCACAGTCCAAGATGACATAATGAAGGAAGACGGAGAGGGAAGCCCGGGAAATCATGACAGCTTGGGACAGCTGGAGACACACCCCTCGAGTAGTTTGGAACCCCATTGGGAAGAAGGCAGTGAAACTATTCCAACTTTCTTTAGCACCATGAACACCAGGTATACTTTGTCCTCTCGGCCACTGACTAGCTCCCTTCTGGAAAAACCCTCATGGCATGCATAGTCGCCAGATGGCAGACTCTGGGAGAACGTGCTGTGTTGTGCCCCTGCTTTACCACTTACGGTGTTGGAAGCAGTGGCTAAGGAGGAATTGGGTCATGAGGGCCCACACTGAAAGCAGATTTTAGTTTGTTGGGGGTAATTATCTTTGGAAACGGATTTTATTAGCCCCTGTAATGGAAAAATAATCACTGGGCATGTCTGTGGAACTGGGCCAAACTATTTGCCCTCCAGAGGAGACAGCTGTTTTATCTCCATGACTACCCTGTGACCTTCAGAGCTCGCTGATGACATTGTGTTCTCTGTCTTTCTTCCTCTGCATTACCACACCATGTAGCTTTAGTGACATTGAACTTCTGGAGGACAGTGGCATTCCCACAGAAGCATTCTTGGCCTCCTGCTATGCTGTGGTTCCAGTATTAGGTAAGTTTGCCGCAGGTGCCTTTCAGTCATTAGTCCCTGGAGCCTCTATCACAGCGGTTAGTTTTCAGGAGAAACGCCCTGAGCTGTGGGTTCGGTGAGATGAACCCCTTAGTTACTTCTGTGCATCACCAGGCCCCATGTGGTTAAGACTTTATGACCTTAAGCCTAATTGCACTTCACCATTTCTTCTCCCATTATGCTTCAATATTGACCTCAGAGTAGTGTGATGAGGAGAGCACATGTTCACCCACAGGCAAAAGTGAACGTAGCTGAAAAATGGATCGCCATCTTCTTTGGCGGTGGTGGCTCTTGTGTGCTGGCCAGTCTATTCCACCGCATAGCCATCCTCTGAGACACAGTAGAATTGCCCCACATGGTTTCCAAGGCTGTGTGTAATCTTCACTGGGAGCAGACACCCGCGTTTCTCTTGCAGTGCCTACAGAGCCACTGGTGGGCTTGCTTAAACTGCTGAGCTTTTCATTAGCAGTCAAGTGCTTAACTCCTGTACCCCCAGGGCTCCTTTATGCATGGGCATTGTGGGGAAAGTTTTCCTACCCGTTAGGAGAAAATGTTCCCCTAAAGATTAAAACAATATATATGTGAAGATGTTTATCTTAAGTTCAAACTTACATTTCCTATTACAAAGTCATTAGCACCCAGGATCCTACTTACATTGAAGTCTGCTATAGGGGGGGAAAAAAGAAAAGAAAAAAAAAAGTCTTCTGTAGGACCCGCTTAACTGCGCATCGTTTTGTCATTGAAGTGTAACTTGCATCTCCCTATGCAATCCATATCCCTCCCAAGACAGAAAACTCCATCACCCTGCCAGCCTCCAGCCCACCACCAGCCAGAGCATAGCATTTTCCTGATTGCTCTCAGCAGAGTTTATTTTGCTTGGTCTGAAGTTTATGAACGGAATCCGGTAGTGTGTTCTGGTGTGTTCTGGAGCTTCATCATTAGAGCCGTTGCTCGTTTCTTTTTATTACTGAGTCTTTCGGTGAATGCCGATACCACAGCGTGTTTACTCAGTCTCCTCTTGATGGGCATTGGAGTAGAACCCGGAGTTAGCTCATCAGCTGCCAGCACTGCCATCCCTTGGGATACCCACTGCAAGTTCCAGGGGTCCCAAACCCTCCTCAGGTTGACTGATGCACTGGGGTGACACTCTGCACTTACTGAGAGCTGTTACACCGGGAGGCAGTTGTACAGGTCAAAACCAAACAAAAAGTATCCACAAAGAAAGAGGCAATGAGGACAGTCTGGGAGAACCCTGAATGGATAGCGTCCATTGTCTTCTGGGCATGCGGCACACTCCAGCTCTATGTGGAAAAGAGGCTGGGAGCGGCTCCGGTGATCACTTCCTGTCTCTGCTCATGCTCCACGGATCCAGCCGCCTGCTCCCCACCAGCAGACTCACACGGTGGTCAGCAGTGAGCGCACCTTCATGGCCATCAAGTTGGACAGTGTGCAGCGGGGCCTGGTGGGCGACATCATCAGGCACTTTGAGCAGGAGGGATTCTTCCTGGTGGCCATGAAGTTAGTTAAGGCCTCGGAGGAACACCTGAAGCAGCACTACATTGACCTGGAAGGCCCCCGTTCTCCCCGGGGCTGGTGAAGTACATGGACTTGGGACCAATTGTGGCCATGGTCTGGGAAGGGTTGACTGTGGTAAAGATGAACCTTGTGATGCACAGGGGAGACCAACGGCGGATTCTTAGCCGCGCAGCGTCCGAGGGGACTTCTGTGTTCACGTTGCCAGGAACAGCGTTCATGGCAGTGACTCGGTCAAAAGCGCCGAAGAAGAAATCTGCCTCTGGTTTAAGCCGGAGGAACTGGTGAACCACGCTGGTGGACCACACGTCTTGTGGCCGTGACCGGATCTACGAGTAAGAGGCAGACCCCGCTCTGTGGGCCTGTTGGCACTGTGCCTGCCCTGTGGACAGCTCTTCTTGCGAGGTTGGAAGCAGTAGGATTGACATCCTGTCTCCTTCCAAAAGCACCCTGACCAGTAAAAGCAAGCCTTTGGAGACTGGGGAAAGAACAACAGAGGCACAGAGTGTTGCCAACGGGGACGCTTATCAAGCTGCAGTGTTCAGAGCAGGCACAGGAGTGAACGTTTCCTTTTTTTTAATATAAGATCACCCACCAGGAGTTAGAGGCGACAAGACGTCAATTACTAACAAGTTGTACAGTCTTGATTGATGGTTGATTACCCCTGTTTGAACTCCATCTCCAGCACCCTTGTACCCAGAGGCTGAGCTGATACCAAGTGGCCCTCTGAGCCTACCGTGAGTCCCCTTGTTAGCATAAACAATCAGGGTTGTTCTGAGTGAGGGCCCACGGTGAAGAGAGACACATCTGTCACTCGGGAAATTCTAGGAACAAATTTCTTATTCCACAAGTAGTTTCCAGCCAGGGCTATAATAAATAAAGCTGCCCTGAACAATACTTTATCCCTTTGCGGACATATGTTTTCCTTTCTCTCAAGCGGGCTTGCTGAGTCACAGGGTAGCTGTATGTTTATGAGAAGCTGCCAAACAGTTTTACAGAGTGGTTACACAGGTGTGCATTCCACTTGCATGTGACTGTTCCCGTGGCTTCCTGGCGTCCCCACGTTGGTTGCTGTCAGTATCTTGAAGCTTTGATGTGCATTCATCTGATGACTCCTGGTGCGGAGCAGTTTCAGTGTGGTGTCACGGTCATTGCCGTGTCTGCCTTTATGTGCGTGTTCAGGTCTTTAACCCATTTTTAAACGCTGGCTGTATGTCTTTTTATTACACAAGAGTTCCTTAGCTGTTCTGAATAAAATTCCCTTTTAGAAATCTGGGCTGTAAATAAGCCTCGGTGGCACTGCCCCTTCAAACCTACCCGCTGCTTCACAGGAGAAAGATGAAGCTGTCTGCCCCCTCAGGGTGTAAGGAGTCTAGGAAACCCTAGATGGGGTCGCTGTGGGTCAGAATCCACTTGATGACATGGGGCGGGTGCTGTAAATGCTTTCTTCTCGTTGTAGTTCATTTCTTTTTGATGTTTTTGGAAGAGCAAACTCTTAAATTTTTATGTGAAGTCCAGTATTCCTGTTTACCAGTTTTCTTTCTTCTTGGCTGGTGGTTTCAGTGCCCTAAGAAATCTTTGTCTCCCCGGGTCATGAAGACGCTCTCTTGTGTGTCCCTCTAAGTTTATGTCTGCAATCCATCTTAAAATCGGCTTTAATATATGGTGTACAATAGGCTGGTGAAGTTAATTTTTGGGTTGTCCTTGCCATCTGGCTATTCAAGAACTATTTGTTGAGGGGAGGGCGGGCGCCATCATTGTCCCCTGTACATTTCTTTGGCAGCTTTGTTGAAAAGCAATTATTCTTTTAAGTGAGGGTCTATTTCTGGATTTTCTCTTTTCCAAAGATCTGTGTGGCTTTCCACATGCCAATACAACAGTGGCTTAATCATGATGCTCTGGTAGTAAGGCTTCACATCGGATCATCTTGTTCTTCTGTGTCGAGCTTTGCCTGTCCATGCACATTTAGTTTCCAGTTTCTGTGGAAGAGCCCACTGGGATTTTGAGTAAGATAGCATCAACTGGGAACCGCTTGGGGAGAACCGGCCTCTTAAGCGACATCGAGTCTTCGGATTCGTGACTGTGCTGTATCTCTTCAGTTATGTAGCTTCTCTTTATTTTTGTCACAACCACGTTTCATACGATTTCTAGTGTTGTTAAGAATATAGTACTTTATATAGTGTTGTTAAGAATATAGTACACTTCAGACTCTTAAAAAAAAAGGGGGGTTGATACTACTGTAAAAAAGTAATTTATTTCCATTTTCCAATTATTCATTGGTAGCATATAGATAAAATTGATGCTTCTTAAATCACAGCTCAGTTAACTTTATAAAGATGCCATCACTGCCCTTATTATGACCATATCTTAAACTGTATTTTGATAATAGTGAATTACATTATTTGGTGGAATTTAAGCCCACCATCTTGGTGTTTATTTTCTATCTTCTCCATTTGTTTGTTTCCTGATTTCTCTCTATCTTTTAATTTACTGTGTTTTGAATCTTCTATTTTATTTCCTCTTTTGGGGTTTTCTTTATTCTTGCCTTTGTTTAATTTTTTTCACTTGTTCAAAATATTTGGGCCACTTGTGGAATTTAAAGTACTATATTAGGCACATTAAAATAGTAAAGCAAAGCACATAAACAATTTATTTTTAATTTTAACGATTTATTTTACTTAGCCTAATATATCCAAAATACTTTGATGCCCACTTGTGATCAGTGCTAAAGAGCCTTGAGTGCGCCCTGTCACACTCGTCGGGCTTACGTGTTTGAAAGCTGTTGTGTGTTTTACCCCTGCCGCAGTGCACATGCCCCACAGCCAGAAAGCCAGGGGCTCCCCGTGGGCAGTGCCGCTAAGCATGGCATACGTAAGCCTCTGAGACTCATCAGATGACACTCCAGCTCACCTGCCACAGAGGAGCGCCTAGCTACTCAGAATAGGGTCACATAGTAAGGCTTTAAGCTTTTATGTAGAAAATAGTTCAGCAGTGAAAGTAATTGGAGGGAAGATCTGTTAAATTCATTATTACCGTGAAAGAAAAACAAAAATTTCCAAACGGGAAAAAAACTTACTTTTCCAATGACATCTTCGATCCTTTTTTCTAGATAAACTTGGCCCTACAGTGTTTGCGCCTGTTAAGATGGACCTCGTTGGCAATATTAAGGTGAGTAAATGGATTTGTTTCTGTGGGAACTTTTAAGTGAAAGGAAAAGTTTATCAAAAATTTTAATGCTTGAAAGAATGCATCAAAGAATGAAAGATGTATCCAAACTTCTTAGAGTAGAGTTAATTCCGTGTCACATTTTGAATCCTTAACCAGCAAATTGATAAGAAGCCCAATTGTGCGCTGGGGGCCGAGTGTTCATTGGAAGCCTGCCACCAGGCTCTCCTCTTCACGCCCCAGGGCCTGGTCAGTCAACGCTGATTCTGTGCTGCTGATGCCTAAGCGACGACAAGCCACAGGTTAGCAGTGTGTAGGTCCAGGCTCAGCCAGCCAGAGTGTCAAAGGTGCTGTGGAACTGCCGAGCCATTTTCTTCCTCTAGAAGATGAGGGAGTTGTAGACGTGACTTCTTTTAAAGTCTGTGTTCCAGATTAAATGTAGGCTGAGCTTTACTGTCTTCAGAATACAGTAGCCAATGAAAATCTCTCACCGCTGTCAGTAGGTAATCCCCTTTAAGGAAGCAGCTTAAGGAATTCCTCCTGTCTGGGTGGCTGATTAGACTTGGCTGTTTTAAGAATTGTGTGTGTGGTAGGAATAGTGACCCGAAATCTTACTTAGGGACAGGAGATTGTAGTATTTTCAAGGACAGCTATGAGAGAGGTCTGAGGCAGACTGAGTAAGTAGGAGGTCAATACATAGCTTTAACACCCCGGGAGACAGCCTTTCTATACTTCCTGTGCAGCCCTCATAAGAACGCTCAAACACAACCACGGCCCCTTGGAAACATAAGGGGAAGGGAGGCCCTCGAGGCTCTTTGCCAACTTACCGATCTCAGGCCTGTGCTGATTTGTTGGATAGTGCTCCCATTTTTAACTTGGGGTCTTCCCCGGCTTTCCCCCAGAAAGTGAATCAGAAGTATATAACCAACAAGGACGAGTTCACCACCCTCCAGAAGATAGTGCTACACGAAGTGGAGGCCAACGTTGCTCAGGTCCGGAACTCTGCGACCGAGGCCCTCTTGTGGCTGAAGAGGTGAGGCAGCAGGGTGGGGTGAGGCGGTAGCCTTAAAATGCAGCTCCCTGAAACTCATGCCGCTGTACGGAGGAGACTGCTGTTCAGTGAGGAGCTGTTTTTCCCCAAGTTCCTGGGAATGTGGAATGGGAGCACACAGAGCTTCCCCATGAACCTCTTGAAACCCAACAAGTTGTTGAGCACCAACGTGTGCTCATTTTCCTCCTGATGGTGATAAGAGTCTGATAAACCCACGGCCTCTGAGTTGATTCTGACTTATAGTGAGCCTGAGGGGCAAGGTAGAGCTACCCAGAGGATTTCCAAGGCTGTAAATCTTGACAGGAGAACGTTCCACACATTTCTGCCACATCTTTTCCCCAATGAGTGGCACCACCAGGGCTCCTCTTCATTAACAAGCCTCTCGTAACAATATAGAGAGCCTGGGTGTCTTTGCGGCTAAAATGCTCAGCTCCTACCCAGAAGTCAGGGGTTTGAACCCACCAGCAACTCCACAGGAGGAAGACATAGCAGTCTGCCTCTGTCCAGGTGTACCACCTTCAAAACCCTGTGGGCAGTCGTAGCCTGCCCGCTAGAGCCACTGGGAGTCGAGACTGACTTGATGGCGGTGGGTTTGGATAGTCATAGCATATTTAGAGACGCCTGAAGGACTTAGAGGCAACCAGGTTTCCATTGTTACGTCATGGGAGGACTTGCTAAACATACACTACTTGGCGCTCCATCCCAGGTTCTCTTCATTCAGTTTGAGAATTTGTGTTTCTAGCAAGTTCCCAGATGACGCTGAAGCTGCTCGTTCCAGGACCACACTATGAAACACATTGCTCCTAAGTATACTAGACATCATAGGGGAAAGATCCCGAGTATGCTGAAGGGAAGCGTCAGACACTGAATGGACCGCCACGTAACTTGGTTTGTGGATGGCTGTGTCCAAGGTGTGATTGACATAGAAGCTGGCATCTGCCATTCATGGGCCCTGGTGGTGCAGTAAGGAGCTCCTGGTGGTTCTGTGGGTTCGGCAGTGGGCTGTGAAGTTTGCAGGGTCAGCTGTTCAAACCCACTAGCTGATCTGAAGGAGAAAGATGAGGCAGTCTGTTCCACGTGGAAAGCTTGTTATTTAAGGTCACTATGAGTTAGAATCCGCTCAATGCCAGTGGGTTTGGTTTGGGGCTAGGTGGCACGTTGGGTTAAGCATTGGGTTGCCAAGCACAAGGTGAGGCAGTCTGCTCCTGTCAAGACTGACAGCCTCAGAAGCCCTGGGAAGCAGGCCTGCTCTGCCTTACGGGGTCTCCATGACGGAGTCAACACAGGTGTCTCCCCATTCTTTTATAGCCGTTCAGCACGCGTGAACTTTCAAAGTAATGTTTCTTCCTCTCTTGTTTCAGAGGTCTCAAATTTTTGAAGGGATTTTTGACAGAAGTGAAAAATGGAGAGCAGGATATCCAGACCGCCCTGAGTAAGTGTTCCCGACAGCTCGATGCCGAGCTGAGGGGTGTGGGCAGATACCCCTGCGGGAGGAGGCTGCAGGACACCCAGGATTTGGTTTAGTTTCTTTATCATGATTTTTGTTTCCTTCCTGTGCAGTAAAAAGAACCCCTGAGACAGGGGCCTGGTAATTTAAATCTGGCTTATAAAAGAATATCTGAAAAAGAGTGGACTTAATGGAGAGCAGTCCTCACTGTTACGTGGGTAGATCTGGCATGAAGAGGCTACTTCTTCCTCCATCAGTTTTCAAACTCAGTGCAATCTGTACGCGGGGAGAAACGTCTGCCCAGGTTTAGAGACCATTCAAAGGAGGCGGTGGGGAGTGTGGGGAACCTTGGAGAGATGCTCGAGTGTGCTTTCTGTTGTCCTGTGCACCCCATTTTGCAGTGGTGGAGCCGAGACTGGAATGCAAGCCCTAGTGGGAGGAGATTGGCCTGTCTGTAGCACTTTAGTGCAGTGATTCAAGGGGAGACCTCCCCCTGTGCATTTCTGATGCTGTAACTGTACAGGAGTAGCAAGACTCATCGTTTTTTTCCCCCGAGGAGTGGCTCGTGGTTCTGAACTAACTGCCCCATAGGGTTTCCAAGGTGTCCGAGGCTGTTCATCCTTATGGAAACAGAGAGTCTCATGTTTCTCCTGAAGAACAGAAGGTGGATTTGAACCTCAGTCTTGCTGTGACCCCACAGTGCCACCTCTAGCTGGTGCGCTTTGCTTGTTTTGAAGACTGGACCCGTAGATGTAACACACCTGACTTTGTGAAGAGAAGGGAGACTCGCAGGGCCAGTGCTGCTCTGTAGCTGAAATGACCACGGCCACCCTTGGAGTCTCCTTCCCCTTTGCCCCTCGGTGCTGTTTTCATTGGTGAGGAGCAAGGGGATCTGTAGGTTTGAGACTTCCCTCCGGAAAGTCAGGATGTTTCAGAGAGCGTTTTCATGAGTTAACTCAGATCTGTGCTCGCAGGGATTCCGAGTTCCTGCTGTTGTTCCATGTGGGAAGATGATGGTTCTCTGGCCGCCCCAGTCACACACACACACAGACACCACAAACTGTGCAAACCACTACAGTGCTGCCAGAAATGTTTGCACGAGAGCCGTCCACAACCCTTAGGCTCCTGAGGCATGATTCTTCCAGAGACCCACTTCTGTTGCTTCATCCCATGGCCCCAGCCTTTGCAAATGGAACTCGCATCTTGTGTGAAATGAGGAAAGGGGGTGCGCACATAAAAGGGAACATGTGCAGCCTATGTTACACCACACCCTGTGCCATGCAACTCAGAGTGACCATACCTGGGGTGCCCAAGATTGTGCAGAGTCTTTATAGGAACAGACAGTCTCACTGTGCTCCGGAAGTGACGGATGAGTTTGAACCAGTGACTTGAGCCTAGCAGTCTGATGCCTCCCCACAAAGCCACCAAGGCTTCTTATTTAGATGCCCTGTGTAGCAGATTAGGTTGTCTTTTTTAAGTTTCTAGAATTAGTGTTGGGTTATTTTAATAATAGTTAGCATCTATAGAACGCCCTTATGTGAGTAGGTATTATATAGATTCTTTGTTTCCCCAGCAGTTTCATTGGTATATGATTCACGTATCATACAGTTCAGTCACACCATCATAGTTCAGGCACACCAAGAAGATTTGTACAGTCATCACCACAATCAGTTTTAGAACATTTTCTTCCTTCTTGTATTCATCATTAGTAGCTCCGCACTTCCCCCAAACCTCCCCTGCCATACCCCCAAGGTGTTATCTAGATTCTTGATAAATATTGCACTTAATTTTTTAAGTCCCTGGGCTTCTTACTGCGAGGTCAGCAGTTCAAAACCACCAGCTGCTGCCCAGGAGAAAGACAAGGCTTTCTACTCCCATGAAGAGGCACATCCTCCGAAACTCTCAGGGACAGTTCTACCATGGGCCGCTATGAGTCGGCCTGGACTCCCTGTCATTGAGTTTGGTTTGGAGATCGGGAGCCTGTGGTTTAGAGAGGATACGTAGGTTCCCCGGGTCTCGAAGTCTCTCGGAGTGGTCCAAGGACAGCACTGTCATCATCACCCGGAAACTCAGTAGACTTTCAGCCCCGCCCTGAGCTCCGGAGTCAGGAGCTCCAGCAGTGGTGCCCAGGAGCCTGAGTTTTAACAGGACATCTACAGTGAAAGCCCAAATCCTTTTGCAGAGGGGACCCCATTAAGCCTCCACTGAATCCCCTCTGGCCATCGATCAGGGCTGTGAGCAGCCTTGTCCTCAGAAAGAGTGCCTTAGGAGATGGATGACTTCTGCCCACCTGGCCAGCCCAGGGAGGGGCTGTTGACCTGAGGGGCTTAACTGGTGTGTCCTTCGTGAAGATTACAGCACTGGGGGTCTCACGGTCATGAGCCATGTCTTGTCTGCCTTGGGGAGCCCCTGGACCAATATTGTAAGTGCCCTTGTCTTATGTAATGCAAGTGTCCCAATCACGGCCCCGTGCGTCCCTGTTACATTGATCTGCCACCAGCCAGGTTCGTGTGGCACTTTTCTCTGACTCCCATGGCCTTGTTAAAGCTATGTCTCCCAGTAAACCCTCGACACCAGGATGACCCACCCTGTCCAGATGCTCGGGAGTTGTCTTGCCCCTAGGCCGTTGACAACTTAATAAATGTTCTCTTTAGTAAAAACTGAAATAAAAGCCCCAAGTCATCCAGATGACCTTAATCCACGCTTAAGTTGAGAACCCCCTCCTGTAGAGGGAGGACATTAGAGCCGTGCGCCACTAGGCTCCTGTTTCTTGTGCGGCTTTATTGTGGATTGGGTGGAGGTGTGTAGGGCAGATCATCAGTTCCACGTGCAGCGCGTCCTGCACATGTTTCATCTCGCTCACTGCAGTCCCCTCGGTGTAACTCACCCTACTTCCCTGTGTTTCCCGGTTCCGTTCTTTGTTTTCATAATCCTTCTCAACTTGGCCCTTGGGTAAACGCAGCCCTTTTGATCTCAAATGATTGATGAGCGTCAGGTGGGCAGTACCTACCTGGTATTACTGTTCCTTTATAGACCAGTCTGTCATGTGACTACAATAGCGGCTTTCTGTTGCAGTAAAATATTTATAGCATCGGAAACCCACAGGGGCAGTTATGCCCCTGTCCTGTAGGGGTCCTTGTGAGTCAGAGCTGATTTGATAGTACTGGGTTTGCTTGACACGTTTACTTGAAAATTGAGCCATGGCGTTAGGTCAGTTCCAGTCCTAAATGATCTCAGGGTTAAAAGGCCGTGTCTTGATTGTTTGGGAACTTTACCTGCATCAAGCGGTTGGTAAGTCAGCAGGAATAAAGTGCTGAAACCAGTCACCCATCAGCATCAGCCAGCCTTATTCGCCTCCTTTTTTGAGCTAAGACCAGCCAGACAACTCCAAAGCACATAGCCACTGCCTTCGAATCCAGTCTGACTCATACGGACTCTAGGTTGGGTTTCCCAGGCTATGCATGTGTACGGGAGTAAATAGCTTCATCTGTCTCCCACGGAGCAGCTGGTGGTCCCTCTTACCAGTTCCGTCAGTGCTCCTAAAGTGCTACCAGGGTTCCCGTCAAGGCGATAGTAGAGATAAATTAAGAGATACATTTTTAGAACTATTAGCTAAAATTTATGTAGTATTAGTGGCCTTGGAGGTGGAATTATGATAAACAAACTCACTGCCCTGTATAAAAGTTCCCAAAGACACAGTAGAGACTTGCTGTCTGTTCATTGCTCGGTGGCCTAGAACAGTTTCCAGTATCTGGAAGGAGAACTTGGTCTTTGCTGCCTGCATTTTGGCCGTCACTTTCATTACCCAGAATGCATCAGAGCGGAGCATACGGAGTGGTTACAGTTCAAGAGCCGCTCCGCACCTTCCCTGCCCCATGACATTATTCAGAGGTCATTCAAAGGGAGGAGTTGGGTCCCCGTGACCAATGTGCTTCATGGTCCGCCCCAGGTGTGAGTCTCTGTCCCAGCCATGTAAGCAGAGGGGCGAGGGGTTGCTCTGGCATGTCCAGCACCCTTGTGTTCAATGTTACGTGCTCAGCAGGGGAGCATACTGCCACATCCCTCACCTCCGAAGGATCCCATCGATGTCAGGTTGAACATTAACCCAGCCAAGATCCCTGGCACAGGATAGAAACGATGAGAAGGGATGCTCAGTTGACTATGTACTCTTCAAGACTGGCCAAGCAAGCTTTGTGAGAGGAATAAAGCCAAAGCTCGTGATAAAAATGTAACATGAAGTGACAACTTCACTCGTCAAATCCACACATCCTGTTGCACCCTGGATCAAGTGCTGCTCTCTCTGAAGCATCTCGAAGCGTGTGCCTCGCGTGGTGGGGCTGGCTTCCAGTGCATGCTCGTAGCCTGGATGGTGCCTGAAGTTAACACAGGCTCTTACTGCTGCCCCTTCCACTGCTTAGTGCAGTGGCTTTTCTCTCCACTGGTCATTCTGCTGAAGCACATGCACAGGCGCTTTCCCAGTAGCTTAACGAGCCCTGGCAGCAGAGTGGGCTGCAGTTGAGCAGCTGACCACAGGGCAGAGGCTCCACCCCCACCAGCACCTCTGGGAGGAAGATGAGGCACCTCCTCCCGTAGAGATGGGCGTCAGATGGATCTTGCTTCAAAGCAGAGAAGTGTTTACTTGTGTTATTGACTGTGTCAATAAAGGCATTCGACTGTGTAGATCAGAGGTCCTCAGACTGCGGCCCACGGGCCACATGCGCCCCGCCGAGGACATTTATCTGGCCCACCAGGTGTTTTTGCCGCCGCTGCTTGTCCTGCTTAGCAGCCAACTGCATAGGAATTTGTTCATAGTTTTTTTTTTAAACTATAGTCCGGCCCTCCAACAGTCTGAGGGACAGTGAACTTCCCCTTGTTTATAAAGTTTGAGGATCCCTGGTGTGCTCATAACAAACTACGGCTAGCCGTGAGAAGAGTAGAAATTCCAGGGCCCTTCATTGTGCTCATGTGGACCTGGCACGTGGGTC